AGGAGGCAGAGCCAGGCGGATCTCTGTGAGTTCGAGGCCAGCCTGGTCTACAGAGCGAGATCCAGGACAGGCACCAAAACTACACAGAGAAACCCTGTCTCGAAAAAAACAGAAAAACAAAACAACAACAACAACAAGAAAAAAGTCTCCCAAGTAGTTCTAGTTTTGAAGGCATGCAGAGGGCATGGAGATCACCTGAAGAGTTGGTACTCAGAGAATGGAAGAGGCCATGGGCATTGGTACAATCTCATTATCAGTGAAGACACTAGTTTTGGAGGGGTCATAGAGAGAGGCTGAGGCTTAACATCATGTGTCAGGATCAGAATCTAATAAGAGATCCCAGGTAAGGCTAGTGGTGAAGTACAGCCCAGTTTCAGTGGAGACCAGAGCATTTGTAAGTATCGTGGGATGACCACTAGGGACAGTCAAGAAATGAAAGTTGGCTTGGACCTAGGAAACAAGCTAGCAAGCTGTATGTGCTTTGAAAGACAGAATCAGAGAAGTACAACTGTCTAAGCTCTTTGGAGCCCACAAGACTCTGAGTCCCAGATATTGGACATTGAGTTATTTACAGTGTTAGAGTTGTTTTTTTTTTTTAAAAAGACTGAACTTTTAAAGTGTTTGAATTTTAAAGACTGAGATTTTTTTCTATGTATTTTTTATTAAGAAAATTTTCTATTCATTTTACATACCACAGATCCCTCTCTTACCTCCTCCTGCTCCTCCAGCCTCACCGTCCCAACCTACTCCCTCATTCCCTCCTACAAGAAGGTAAGGACTCCCATGAGAAGGTATATTTAGTAGAGGCAGGTCCAAGACCCTCCCCTGGCCTCAAGGCTGTGCAAGGTGTCCCATCATAGAAGTGAGCTCCAAAATACCTGCTCATGCACCAGGGATAGATTCTGATCCTACCAGGGGGCCCCTTAACCAGATCATGCTATGTAACTGTCTCGATATGCTGAGGACCTAGTCCAGTCCCATGCAGGCTCCACAGCTGTTGATCTTTAAAGTTTGAAATACATTATATATTATGACATTTATTCTTATAAGATGGGGGTGAACAAGAAAGGAATACAGATTAGCAGATGTGTGTGTATTTGCCATGGTGGCAAGAGGTCCTTTTTTCTGGCTAAGTTTATGTCAGCCTGACACCACAAATGAGAATCACCTTGAAAGAGGACACTTCAGTTGAGAAAATATTCCCACTCGATTGGCCTGTTGGCAAACTTGTGGTGCATTTTCTTGATTCAAGGTTGATATCGGAGGGCCCAGCTCACAGTGGGCAGTGCCATGCCTGGGTAATCCTGGGTGCTGTGAGAAAACAAACTGAACATGCCATGAGCTGCAGTCCAGTAAGCAGCACTCCTCCATGTCCTCTTCATCAGCTCCCTCCTTTAGGCCCTTGCCCTGCCTGCATCCCTGTTCTGATTTCCCTCAGTGGTAAAACCATAATGTGAGACTGTATGCTAAAATAAGCACTTCCTTCCCCTGTATTGCTGTGGTTACGGTGTTTGTCACAGCAAGAGAAACTCTAAGACAACTTTATGGCATTAGCTGGGTGTTGAGGATTACTTGTTTTGACTTTTATCCTGAGGTTGGATCATATTATACACACTGTAACCACATAGTATATTTCTAAGGATACTCCACAGCTACAGTGTGGGACATTTGAGTATTGCGGGCTCTCCTTTCGGATTTTCTTCCTCTACAAGCACAAGAAAAAAAAAATGAGAGTTGAAAAAGCATTTCAACTTTAAGTCTCAGAAATAACACCCCAAAAGATCTGTTTCACTAATTTTATGTGGAGGAGTGTTTCAGATTGTTAATGTCGATTTATATGGTAATTGCCCTGCAATATATGTCTACTTTTTCTCCTTTCAGCCAGATTCCATTTTCACCTAATAATGCCAGTCACTAGCATACCGTGTGTGTATAAATGATTGTCATGAATAGCACTGAACAAATCAATAAGAAGTTCAAGTTGAGCTTAAGCTGAATTCTTAACAGCCCCTGAATTAAAATGAGACTGGAGAATACTTCTCTTTTGTTTCGGTGATTCTTTGGGAGGACCAATCCTCAAGTGGCAGCCACATTTCCCCCAATAGCAATATCTATACTGTTTCTAGCCCCAGTGGCCCATGGTTCCATCTGAAAAGTTACTGAAATAATACCGCCAGTGAAGAAATTCATGGCCATGCTCCTCATCTTTAAGATATGAAACTTACATATTTCACCTGTTTCTTATAATAATAATATTATATATACATATATATATATATAAAATAAGGGAAGATGAATAATGCAGCCTCAGTTACCTAATGAATGAATAATGTGAAAAGGAAAAGAGGTGAAAAGTGAGAATAACATAAGGTTTATATGTACAGTATCTCTCCATTTTCACCTGTGGATACTCTAATCTTCTGCCATGAACGTTGATTGAACACTCATGTCTCAGTTACTTTTCTCATTTATGTGACCAAATACTTGAGAAAAGCAATGTAAAGAAGAAAGCATTCATGTTGGCTCAGCGTTGAAGGGGAGGGCTGGCAGCAGGAGTGTGCAGGAGCTGGTCTCGTTACATCTGCGTCAGGAAGCAGAGAACATACAAGAAGCGAAGCCAAGATACAAAATCTCAAGACAGTCTTCCGCAAGTGAGACTTCGCCTTGCCGGGATTTCATTGTGGGGCTTTTCAGAGCCGTACTACTACACAGACTGCGGCTGTGCCCGTTTTCTACCAGGAACATAGAATCGACTGGGATGTGGAATGTCTGTTGGCCCCTTAGAATGTGAAGTGGCAGTTCCTGAACAAATAAGCCATGTGGCTTCCAAAATGTAGTGGCAATTCAAAGGCATGTTACAAGAGAAAGGTGGGGGGTGGGGGAGGGAAACAGGAGGTGAAGGGGCCTCCTGCAAGAGGGAGTACTTGATCTGATACCTGAGTGAGAAGGAACAGACTCTCTGAATTCATGAAAGTAAAAATTTCTAGGTGCAGGGTGCATGTGTTTTCCGTTAGGAGGGGTGATGCGGGTGAACAAACAGAAGACTGAACTCTCTGAGAGTACTGACAGAAACCAGTGAGAAAAGCCTGGTAAAATAATAATGAGGAAAATATGGGAGCCATGTATCTTTCATCCCATAGCACAAGGTGTTTGCAGGTTTTCATTGAACACTGCAAAAGTATACTGAAAGTTCTTAGGCACTTAAACATGCACTTGCCATGCACTGAAACCCAAAGTCAGAAGTTTTAAGCTCTGATGATGTAACTGTATGTTATGGCCTCACACCTGGGTGGGTACAAAGTCAAAGTAAGCACAGTTACAAAATAAGAATAGAGAAATATTTATTATCTGTAAGAGGCTAGGAGAATACAGTGATGCAATGTCCTACGTTAACAATGTAGACATAGGAATTTTACTTAGGGAAGCTATGCCAACTCATACAGCAAAGATCCTGAGGAATATTGATAATACCTTCCTGAGCATGAGCTTGCTGAACTACGTTCTTCATCCCTGTGCATGCTAGGGATGAAGTCATAGCTCAAGAAGAAAACGTGGAGGCTCTATTTTGGTGCATGTTAGCTTCACATCATGGACCATGGGCCTGGCTGAGAAGTTCAAGCAGTGCACTGTAACACTTGTGTGTGTATTAAGCTTGCACCAGGAAATTTTAGCTAAAGAAGACAAAAGGGTATTTTAAAGTACCTTAATTTAAGAGGTTTTTTTTTTTTTTTTTTGTTTTTTTTTGTTTTTTTTTGTTTTTTTTTTTTTTTAGATTCCTTCCTTAAGCAGCAGCTAACAGTAGTGAAATGGCATGGTCAGGAGGACTTTGCAAAGTGCCTTGGTCCCAAAGATGAAAAATGATAGGAATTAATCCTCACATTCAGTTAAAGCTTATGGAGAAAATTGCTCTGCAAAGTATTGTTTTACATTTTCTTATAAAAGTCAATTTTAAGAACATTCACTAGGCTATTTCTTAGCTGGAGTTTCTCAGAGATGAAAGAAATCCTGAACCATTTCCATCTTTTGAAGCTGCTTCATGGAAAGATAATATGTATAGAGATAAATAAACATTGGTAAACATTATGAAATATAATCTATAAAATTAATGATTTTAGGTTGACAAGTGTAAGTCAAGCTAAAGTTAAAAGATCCTCAAAATGCACAGGGGAAGGGAATTTGTTTATAGCTGATGAGGTAAAGATTCAGTTTCAACACTCTGGGATCAGAATTGAGACCTTCTAAGTGTACCATGATACACTTTTGCAAGAAAACCCGTGGAGAAAAAGAACATTCTCTATTCTGAAGAACCCAGAATGTCTTCCAAACACAAGCTTCTCTAACTCTGTTCATGCCTGTGCAGGGCAACCAAGACCTCAGAGAACTTACCTCCTCCTGGCCTCTTCACTTTGTCTAGTGTTTAGAAGCAATCTGAGAAGTTTTGAATTAAGGTTATGGAGCACAGAGAATAAGCTGCTTGCTCAGTTATCTGGGTTCTTGATTGGATGAGATAGCCACGTGCCTGCTTTGGAGGGTCTAACCTATGCCCTTTGGTGTAGGACAGTCCCTAACGTCCACTATGCCCTGTGGGTCTGCAGATTTCTTTTCCCACACAGGCTGAGAGAGAGAAGGTTGATTCAATGAACAAAGTAAACCTCTGGAGAGGTTGCAAGACCCTAGCTTTGCTGGGCATTTAAAATATTTAGACACAGCCTGTTGATGATGCCCGTGATAGATATAAATTAGAAACTCAAATTCCAAGGAAATTTCAGAGATTCTGCCTAGGATGTTATGGTTATCTCAGCCTGGGTGGTGTTTAAGTGAAGGATGACATTTATTTTCTATTCTATCCAAATACATCCGCTACAGACTGGGTACATGAGACCCTGCTCTTTAGAATTCTGTGTTTCACAGGCACATGTCTCATACTTTTATTAAAGAACAAATACTTAACTCATGACTCAGTGCTCAGCATTGACACAGCACAACCCACAGGCATCCTGTCCTCTACGCCTCACACTGAAGTTCCAGGATGAAGCCTCACCACAGCTCTTGCTTCATGTCTGAGGCTTGTGCTTTCCAGTGTCATGAAGGCTTGTGGCTACTGTGCCCATCTTCCAGCCTGGGAAGCTTCAGTGGTTCACACAACCCACCGAAAGTGATGTCACCTTCCTCCAAACTGTTCACTGTTTCTTGATTCTCCACTGCCTTGGTCCACAACAACTGGGAAATCCTGAACAGCTTCTACCTGCAAATAAAATTGCTCATTCACACCTCTCTGTCCTGTGCCCTAAAGAGCTCTCTGATTTTCTCTTTGACATGATATTTTACATTTTCTTAAAGCATTTATACTGATATTTTAAATGTTCCTATGAATTAAAGAATATTTGTACTAATATATTTACCTAGTGACTTTATTAATTTGGTTAAGTCCATTACAAGCACATTTAAAATGATTTCTAGATTTTCTGTATGTCTGAATTCATATCTTGAAATATTTTTAACTATAAATTACAAAATTTAAGGTTTCGAAAGTTTAGAAATGTGTCCTAAATAAGCAAATGAAGAAATGAAGTAATTTTTAAAGCATACTCTTTAAAATTGGATAATATCAGTCATCTTCAGTCTTTTGTGCAGAAAAAAGCAAATTTATTTCATTTAAAACTCTTCGAGTTTCATGTGAGATGCAGCCACATGTAAAATTCATTTATTTGCTAAGTAGCACTGTGATAGCTACTTTTAATTTCCAGCTTTATACAATCTAGTCTCAACTGACAAGGGAGTCTCGGAAATATATTGTCTAGATTTTTATGGCGTGGGGTATGTCCCTATGGAATTATCTTGTGTAGTAGGACAGCCAGCCTACTATGTATGGTACCATTCTTTGGACAGGTGATCATGGATGACAAAAGAGCTCTGAAAGTGAAGTATACACTAGTGTGCATACATTAATTAATGCCCTCTGCTCTTAACTGTTGAATGACACTAACTGCTTTCAAGTCCCCACTGCCTTGATTTCCTTTCAGGATGCACCAAATCCTTTCAATATGAGTCAAATAAACCCTTTATCTCTCAGTTGCTTTTTTCACATTTTTTGATCACAGCATCAAGAAAGGAAACTAAGACGTATCTAGCACTGTCAATCACTAGCCTTGCTCATCTGAACATCAGCATAATAAGATGCAAACTCTCCAGTATGGATTGCTTTATCTGAAATGGGAAAGTGCTCTTTATACCTGTTCTAGGATGGGAAACGGATGGATAACAAAACAAAATCCTGAACTTGTGGGCAGATCTAAATCTATATCATATCATCTTTATAAAGAATAATAATGACTGATTGCTGAAAATAAAATGGATGTAATAATACTGAACAAAAAATGATTCGAAATCAGGCAGGATGTAACAGTTATAAAGAAGCCTTAAATTATTATTTTAGAATAGGTAAATACACATTTTTCTATTAAACTATGATTTCTATCTATATAAATGGATATCCTTTAGAAAATTCTGGACTACTGTGTATTCCAATAACACTTTCTTTTCTTTTTTTCTCTCTCTTTTCCCCTCATCCTTGTTCCAATAACTATACATAAAACCTTTTCACAGAATGCAGCACATATACTACTTCTCGGGTGTTTTTTCTCTTGTCTTTTTTGGTTTTAGGGTTGATTTGATGAATATTCTATGAAAATTTTTATCTTTAAATGATTTTCCCTTTTATTGAAACTAGATTATTTTCTCATACAATCATCCTGATTACAGTTTCCCCTCCCCTTGCTCCTCCCAGTTTCTCCCCAGTTCACCTTCCATCCAGATAAACTCCTTTTCTGTTTCTCACTAGAAAATAATACAGAGGTAAATATCTGTATAGTATTAATAAACACAAAATGACTGGGTTGTTCTTCATGGAGGAAGTATTAGGCTCAGTTGTTCTATGCTCTGCAAGTGACAATAATGTTACCTGTGGGTTTAATATTAAATAATGAATGGTGTACTAATTGTAATCTCTTTAAATAAGGTTATGCACAGAATAATGCACAAAAGTACGTCCAGAGACTCAAACAAGAGCCTCACCATGTATCTCCCTATACACTGTGTTTGGGGGAAATTTATAGTGTATAACCACTAGCACTAAAGAGATTTAGTGTAGATTCATACGTTCTCAACAAAAACTGCACAAGATGTCAGACTTTTAAAACAATACTGAGAAATTAAAAATAGATTTCCTAATTTGTCATCTATTACCACCATTAAGTATTGTGTGATTCAACACTGTACAATTGTCACAACGTCGAACTTCATCTACTTATCTAATAAAGTGTTAATAAGGATGACAACGCCTCATATGGAACCTGGCAGGATATTAAAAAAATTTATATAGAAATGCAAAGATTAAAAATAGCAGAGTTCCCTTGAAGAAGGATGTGGGAGGACCTTCACTGCCATCTAAAAGCCACATTTCAGAGCATATGGTCCAGATGCAAGGGTAGGTGAGGAACACTGAAAAATAGCGAGCCTACAAATAGTCCCATCTACATATGGACACTTGGTTTGGAAGAGAAGTGGCTCACTAGAGTAGTGGAGTAAAGGGATTTCATGAAAGTAGTGTAAGCCGGAGAACCTCCTCATAAAACTAAAAGGACCCTAGTGCTCTGATATGCAAACGTTTCAGAAAAGATCCTCTGGAGCAGACCATGTAGATGTAAACCACACACACACACACACTGAGCAAATGTAACAGTAAATAAATTTAATAGAATGTCTATGACATGAAGATAGAAAAATGTTTAAGGTACATTTCATGTTTACTTACAAATACATATATACTGTATGTCTATATGTATACTTACATAAATAATTTAAATGAAGCCATGCTGTTTGTAGTGATTTTGCTCCCTTAAATAAAATCACACTGCCAGACATGGGAAATGGGTTGGAGGATTGTAAGAGTCTCCAAATTATAGGTTATTGCCATTGCCTTTGGTTGCTTCCCAAAACTTAAATGTAAGTGTTATTGCGACATTTCAGATACAGAGTTTGGAAGAATCAAGGTGGAGTTTCTCTGGAAATCTCCTTTGGAAGGCTTAGCTTTCGTTATATCCAAAGGTCCTATGCAAGCTGCTGAAGGAGAAAAGCAATTGACAGTCTTGCCCCTATGTGAAGGCTCAGAACAACCACCACGGTGGTGAGATATCCCCAAGGGCGCGTGGTGATGGCACTTATATCTTGGTCATGACTGGTTGCATTCTCATTGGACTTAAGTTCTGCTTGACAGCAGGGAACTCAGGCACAGTATTGTAAACTCAAGCAACTATTTGTGGCTAGTGAGGCCATGGACCCTATGGGAGGACGTACACCTGCTACCTTCAGAGATCAGTATAATTCCCAGCTGCATTCTGTATTCCTATCCTTATATCGATAGATGAATACAGCTGTCACCCATCATCAATGGAGGTTCTTTGTGCAGAAGAAAGAGGCCAGCACAGAAATCCACACTGATAAAACTGCAGAGAACAACTGTTGCCACATCTCCACTCCTAATTGATATTTCTTCATCATATCCCTTATACTTAAGGCTCAAGAAAAAAATCCTAGAAGAGGGAACAGGAAGACCATAAGGGCGTGAAAACCAGGCCATCTTCTGAGAGATAGTATCTTCTGTACACAAAAGGTGTTGGACCCATGAAATCTCAACTATATAGTTGCCTAACTGCTCATACATCAGCAAGTGGCTTTCCAAAGTACAAGTGGAAAATCTTACAAGGTTCCATTCCCGGGTTAGAGCTATAAGAAAATAATGTTGGCTGAGGAAGGGAGAGTCATTCTTCTCCAGGGATAGCCCCCTGACAGGCTATCTAATCCCAAGTGGTCATCTTTAAAATTATATAACTATAGCAATACTAAAATGAACTCAATAGGTTATAGTCATATTTGTGTGTGTGTGTATATATATATATATATATATATATATATATATATATATATATATATATATATATGTAGTATATAATTAAAGTAAAAGCTCACAAATTTGAGTGGAAGTGAGACAATGTGAGAGGGTTGAGGTGGGGCTGGTGGTGTGGAAATGATGAAAATACAATACTCCTGTATGACACTCTCAAGCAGTTGGTACTACAAGCATGTACCACCATACATGGAGTAGATATAATACTAAAGTAAATGTATTATCTTCTAAGAAAAAGATGGAGTAAAACAGTTGTGCTTGGCCTTCTTGTGGGACTCCTAACAGTGGGAGCAGGGGCTGCCTCTGACTCTTTTGCCGGCTTTTGGGACCTTTTTCCTCATACTGGGTTGCCTTGTCCAGCCTTCAACTTGATATGCCATATTTGGTTGATATCCATGGGAGTCTTGCCCTCCTCTGAATAGAAACAGAGGAGGAGTGGATGGGAGATGGGGCAGAGGGAAGGAAGAGAGAGGAAGGAAAGGAAAGAGGGAAAGCAGCCAGGGGTCAGATTGTTAAATATATAAATAAAATATTTTAATAAATAAATAAATAAAACTTGTTTCCATATATAGTTTCAGGCATATTAACTTTTAATGTTGACATTCAAAAGTACTTCTTTTTCCATTTTAACTAGATCTTTGATAATTTTATACATGTTGGACAGTGATGGCACATGCTTTTAATCTCAACATTTGGGAGGCAGAAGTAGGTGAATTTCTGAGTACTAGGCCAGCCTGGTCTACAGAGTGAATTGTAAGACAACCAGGACTACACAGAGAAACCCTGTCTCAAGAAACTAAAAAAAAAAAAAGACCGAGAGCGAATTTTGTACAATGTATTTTGATTATATTCAGACCACTCTAACAATTGCTTCAATTGCTTCAGTTCCTCCTGGGTAAAACTCTATCGTTCCCTTCTCTAATCACTTAACTATATATATATATATATATATGGTGAAAGAGAGAGAGATGGATGGGTGGATGGACAGATGGATGCGGAGGTGGGAGGGTGGGTTGGTAGATGGATGAATGAATGGATGGATGGATGGATGGATGGGTGGGTGGGTAGAGAGATAGATAGATGGATAGATAGGTAGGTAGGTAGATAGATAGATAGATAGATAGATAGATAGATAGATAGATAGATAGATCCACATACTTATTTATCTGTACACATGCAGACATATACATGTATATACATATATACATATATGACTCTTAAAATATTTCCTCCCCCTTTCCACAATGTTCCTGAGCCCTAGCTGTAGGGGTTGTATCTAG